AACAAACAAAAAGAGAGGATGAGGTAAATTGCAAAACAAAACCACATACAAGACTGTTGGGTAATTTGTTACTCAAGCTTTAACCAATTAATTGCACTTGTGCACACACAACACATTGAAGTCTATTTTGGCACACACTAGGATTAAATTCCGTCTTTTACGTTTCATAAATCAGCACAGACTGAAACTATTTCCACATTGCTCTCCTGCCTTTATTCCCATCCTCCACTTACAGAAACCTATTATGGCAGAACCCCACCCAACTGAAGAGGCTCTTTGATCATGCCCTCCCTACTGTTTACCCTCCCACAGGGGATTCAGCTACCACTACTACCTCCCTTGTCGAACCATCAACATCACACCTAAGCACATCACAAGGGATTTCAGTCACTGCTCAAATTCGGTTCATGCCTCTGTGGGTTTACATTATATCCTAAAATAGAAGTTATTTTAACTCGGAGACCTTTAGCTTGACGGCAGTGGAGTTAAACGTTCCCTGTTCAAGAGTCCAGCCAGAGACCTTTGTGTCATGTTGTTTCCCATCTGTCTCCCCCCTAACTTTTTATAATCTCTCTACTATTGGCTCATAATATTGGCCAATTGTCATGGATATAGCTCAGTTGCTTATTTTCAGGAAGCATAGTTACCCCCACCACATACGGCCACATGTTAATCATGTGACCAGATTTCTATACATAGGTCGGGTGATAAGTGGCTTACATGCATCACAGCTTCCAAATCGTAATCTGCTGAGGAAGACCGTGAGATGTGCTTCGAAGTAAGTAGACCTTGAGTTAAGGGTGAAAGATTCTGTGTCATTCAGGTCATGGTTTAGAAGTGCAAAGTCAAAGGCTTTAGTTCAAAACGGAAGAGGCCACTTGGATGAGAAGCAAAATTCCTTCAAGAATTGAAATTCCAATTGCTTTTGACTTCTAGCTATAAGATTTTTGTAAAACCAAAAGGTACAACAAAATCTCCAAACTTCTAAACACTTAAAATAAAACTGGAATGACCAGCCTTAGTCATACAACACATTATTTTTGCTTTTAGATATTGTAAAGTTGCTGTAAGTAAACTGAAGTGTCTTTCAACAGATGACTGTGCACAGTGTGAGGTGCCATTTTAAGACAGGCTGTTTCTCTAAACCTGTTGCTGTTGACATTTTCTCAGCCACAAACCTGATGGTATGTGTTTTCATAGTAACCCGTACCATCGACCAGGAGGGTACAGATTGCCATGTAGGTGCAAATGAGGTGACAGAGTGACACTGAGATAGAGGCTGACTCATCGTCCACCTATTCTGCTGCATCTGTTCAGTCAGTTATTGTGGCACACAGAAAAATGTCCCTGTTCTAACATACATTATGCTCCCAGCCAATGCCTTCCTGCACAATCTGTACAGAGATTTACTGTTCATAATCATATGTTTCTGTTTTAGCCTGTAGTATTAATATTACAAAAATTGAAATCATTAGGTGTGGTTTAAGCAATCAAGATAACAAAAGGAATAATATAGGATAGCTGATTCATAATTAGGATCTCAATATCCACCAAAATAACCCTAATTAGTTTGGTGGAAATAATAATTGTGCAGACTTAGCTTCAGAGAGGTAAGCACTGTAAAGTTAAAAATAGTGCGGTGCAGAACAATTTCATCAGGAATGACAAGAATTCAGGATTGCGCCATTTCCCGGATTTGTTTATCCAGAGGAAGAGCTATGTAAACACTTTCTATATACAGAACCTTATCACATCTGCACCAAAGGTGCTAGGATGTGTCATACTGCATCAACTATTTTGTATTCTAGTGCAGAAATAGGACTGCACTAATCTAAAGTATTTACCACAACAACACTACTTAACTACTTTAAATCACCAGGCAAAATTATGATTTTATTTTTAAGTTAAAATAGAGTTAAAATAATGTTATTTTGGTAAGGCTGCATCTGTCAGCCATTAAGCCCATTCTGCAGGCCAGTGTTTCCAAGAACCCTGAGTGTATTGGACATGCTCTACAGCAAGGTTGCACTCTGAGGTTTTAGGAAAGGTATGCTGTGATACCTATTGATCATCGTTGAGGCATTTTACCATGGACTCCAGTTGATCAATAATTGACCCAGGTCAATTACGACTTACAGACAGCATCCTTTAAAAGCAGAGAAGCATGTGTTGTTCCCAGGAAAGTTGGCCAAGGTCTCCTGCTATTCACAGCTCTTTTCCCCTACAGGGTTTCCTGTCCTGATCAGCAGGGGCAGACATACCCTCTCATTACGGAAACCGCAGATGAAAATGAGAACAAAATGAGGCCCATTATCACGCGGGCGTGACTAATATCCCTCTATAGACCTCTCCACACACACTGGACACATGCACGCTCGTCACACGCAAGTTATATGTGTGCACAAAAAAAAGTCAGACATGCACACTAAGATGCGTGTGAATCAATAACGTAACAGAAACAAAGATGAGGGGAAGTTGGTAATAAACTTTGGCTCTATTAAATGGACCAGATCTCGGGCTTCTCTGTGGGCGGTGTCTGGCTCTTTCCACTGAGTGCATCTATAGGTTTGTGAGGGAGCGTATATACCCTAATCATCCATGATGCCATTAGTGCTAAATGCGAACCTGGTTCAGCCTAACTCCTGCCCACTTATAGTCCTAGCGTTTACTATTCCCTCCCTTGCCATCTCTTTCCTCTTTTCCAAACCGCTCTTACATCATCTGACCGGTCCTGTAATATTTCATCTTTCCTGTGATTCTCTCATCTTTTCAAATATCCACTCTGCTCTTCATTTCCTCAAATGCCCGCAACATATTCATTAGCTTACTGGAATTCATAATCATCAACTTCTAACCCAATACTAGTCTCGCTCTTGCCTCAATCCTCTTAAAATCCTGGCTTACCAATTTCTGTTCTCTGCTCTACTTTTCTACCTTTTCTTCATCCTCTCATTCCTTCTCATTCCATCTCCCCTATTTATTCTCTTTGCTGAAGAATCCTCTGCTCTTTCCCTTCCCTTTGTATTTTTCCACCCAAGTGCATCATTTTGTGGCTTGAATACATGTTTCCATTCCAATTTGAATTGATCTAAAAGATAACCACAGGGGATATACGAAGCCCAGCGGGGGCGTCAAGTGTTTTTTTTTTCTTTATTTTTTTTTCTCCATATTTCACTCTCGTTGCTCTATGCTCCAGTTGTACCTTCATCTCTGATTCATCGTAACTTTTTCTTCCCCTTCTACCTTCCTGTCTCCTGTGTTTTAACCGCCTTTCCTCCTCTTTTGCCCATCGGGTCTGCTGAGTGATTTATAGCCTTGCAACAGGCTGGTAGACGCGGGGAAGAGAAAGGGAGGAGAGGTAGATGAAAAGAGGAGGGGTTGAGTAGAAATTGGGCTGTTTGGCGTTTGAAGTACATGAAGGAGTAATATAAAATACACCTGGTCCATCCATGGGGCACTCTGTACACAGAAACAAAGGGAGGGGAGGGAGACGTAAAGGAGGAGAGAGGAGAGGGCCGGGCCACAGGGGGAGAGAGGTGGATGGAAAAGGGGGGGAGGGGAGGGGTCACTTCGTGTTTCCTTTCAGGATGGCTTTTATGGTGTAACTTCAAACACTGACCTCCCACACCCCCACCCCTACATCCCCCCTCTCCCTCACTCCATCCGTCCGTCCGTCCATCCGTCCCTCCCTCCTCTTTCTCACTATTGTGTATGGCCAAGTGGACAGTAATTGGCTATTCTTTCATGAGGCTGATTTCAGCACTCTCTGCCCCCCACAGGAAGAGGCCCTTTTTGCTGCCCCTTAGAAGTAAGTGTATTTGTGTGTATGTGTGTGTACATTGTAAATATGCCAGACGGTAGGTATCAGGTGGTTAAAGGAGGCTGCACTGGCCACAGACTCTACAGGCATTTCATTCACTGTGCGCTCCAAATTACAACACAGGAATTGGAGGTAATTTAATCCAGAGAAATCATGTTCCGACATGAGGTTTTACGAAATACTCTCCGGATTTCAGGTACAGCTTAAACATGTATACCTTTGTTTAGGAATAAAGCTTACATTACATCTGTTGAAAGCTGCGGTACAAAGTGTTAAAGGGAAATTTAAAGCCCTAAAAACTCACTGGATATATACAATATTCTTGGCAATGAATGAGTGTTTTATTTTTCCTTCCAAAATGTTATTCAAAGACACCCAGGGGCACTTACCTAACTTATTCATGCCATAAAATATACAAAAAGATGAGAGGCTTTGCCAATGTTTCCTACAGTCATAGCATATTGAGAGTGATATATAAAAGCTGCTCTCGTCTTGCTAATGACTTCTGGTCCTCTGTGGCTTATAGATCAGTGTGCGTTCATTAATGATACAGGCGTGTGTGCAAGTGTGTGTGTCAATTAGTGGGTGGAGGGGATTAGCCATCCCTAGAGAGCCCTAATTAACACTACACACACAGGCAAAACCATCTTTTTTGGATATTTTTTATGGCTTTTTTCAGCATTTTATTTGGTTGTAAACAGTGCAAACTGACAGGAAGTATAGGAAGCGAGGGAGGGATGCAACAAAGGTTCAAGGCCAGATTCAAACTCAGACTGTCGAGGCTAAATGGTTCCCACCCCCTCCAGACAAACACAGACACCACCCCACACACACACACAGGCCATGGCCACACAGACATGCAACACTGGAGGGTATGTGATGTATACAAGCTCTTAAAAGGTTAAATATGTGGACGACGACACAACATAAACACAGACTTAAACAATTACAGGGTAGTCTGTCCTCGCAGACACAACACATAAACAGGACTGGTGATAACTGTGTTGTCAGACAAACGAAAAAATGTACAGCTCAAAAATCACAGCTACTTTAGCAGAGCAGAAGATCCACATAGATAGGAAGATAGAGGTTTCCAAAAGAGAAAGGCACAATTCCAAGACTTAGAAGTAGAGCAGAGGGAAGGTATATAGAGCTCTTTATACAGTAGAGTGCCTCCTACCTCTCTGTAGTTCACTTTGGGCTCTATTCTCTTCCGCTTTCTGCCCTTCCCCTGATAACTCTGACTGAGGAGAATCCATTTTACAACCTGCAAGAGGGAGGATGGGGGGGTGAGGTGACGAAGGCGGGAAAAAGAAGGGAGGGTAGAGGTAGAGACAGAAACAAAGTGGCATGTTTTGAGTGAGCGGGATTGAGTCAGTGGGAAGGATAAACAGAAAAATGGGGGACAGCAGAGAAGTAATCAGAAAGGTGTAAACCCCCAATGACAGAGAGAGAAAGGAAAAAGGAAAAGGTGTGAGAGAGTGAGTGGTCACATTCAACAGCAGAAAGTTAATATAAACAGACATGTGGCGCACTTTCCATCTCTCAAGTGGAAAGGCACACAGGAATATACATATGCACACTCTCAGTAAGCCAATAGCATGCAAACGTTGACAGAGTGCAAAGCAGACACATAAACACAAATGTCAAACAGTCTATCTACAGTCCTCTCCCTCTGTCTCTCTCTCTTACACGCACACATTAAATCCAACGTTCAGCGCTCACTTGCTCCATACATAACCTACGGAAACGGCCGGCTAAGACAAAAGAGTAATAGTGAAAGTATGCTGCTGTGACGGAGCCTGGAGCGCAGCAACTCCCTACACCATATATCTCCATTAAACAGCAAATC